AGCACGGCGTGATCGACACACGTGCACAATTCCTCGCAGTAGTCAAGGCACTACCGCGCGAATTCAACAGGTACGTAACACCTAGTATGTTTACTAGTGATGTTTCCGATCCTTACGAAATCTTAAAACGCTCGATTCTTAAACGAGGAGACCTAACCGATCGACAAAGGTTAGATCAACTCTTCAACAATATCGACCTGCAACACGGTTCTGCGACAGACATGTTGCAACGGATGAGAGAGGTTATAGGCCCAAGAACTTTCGACGAAGGCCTATTCAAACAACTCTTCTTGTCAAAACTTCCCCAACAGGTGCAAGCAGTTCTGGTCTCGTTCCAGAACAACGCCTTAGACGAGCTAGCTGCATCTGCCGACCGCATATTAGAAATTACGAAATCTACTACCGAGGTATTTTCAGTCAAAGAAAAACCTCAAACGACTCAGAATGATATAAACGACTTATGTCACACACTCACGCGTTATCTTAGTCTTCGTAACGACCGTAAGAGATCGCGCACACCACGTAGAAGCATTTCTCGTAAGCGATCTGTCTCTAGACCACGAGAGACAGATAACCCCGACTGGTGCTGGTATCATAACCAGTATGGAAAGTTTTCCAGAAATTGCAGAAAACCCTGCAATTTTCCCAACACGAAACCGACTGATTCGAAAAGCAATTCGGGAAACTTCCAAGCCGGCACGCGTTAACGGCAACCGTAGCCGGCGAACAAAGCCGTCTGTTATTCGTCACAGATGTGACAACGAGAGTTCGTTACCTCGTCGACACTGGCGCAGAAGTTAGCGTTCTCCCAGCAAATCCTAACGACCGGCTTCAGGAGTCGGCTTTTAACTTACAGGCGGCAAATGGAAAACCGATCGCTACGTACGGCAAAAGGTACGTCTACCTTAACGTGGGTTTACGCAAACCCATCCACTGGATTTTCGTTGTTGCAGATGTTTCTATGCCAATCATTGGTATGGACCTTCTACAACACCACAATCTGATCATCGACACTCGCAAACGGAGGCTAGTAGACGGAAACACTAATTTGTCCGTTTGCGTAACTTCTTTTACTGGTTGTAGAGTATCCCCAGTCACAGTTAAACATATGATAGACCCACTCTATCAACCACTACTCGATAAGTACCCTGAGATACAACAAACTCAAACGAAACTACCGTGTGTAACCAGCAATGTTACACATCACATCACGACTACAGGACCACCTGTATTTTCTAAAGCACGCCGACTAGCTCCTGAAAAGCTAAGGTTAGCGAAAAACGAATTCGATCACATGATGAACTTAGGAATCATACGACCGTCAAGTAGCCCATATGCATCTCCGTTGCACATGGTCCCTAAAAAGGACAGCAACGATTGGCGTCCAACTGGTGACTATCGGCGATTGAACGCGAAAACCATTCCCGATCGTTACCCGTTGCCTCACATTCACGATTTGACAGCTACCTTGAAAGGTACAACTGTCTTTTCAAAAATCGACTTGGTCAAAGCGTATAACCAAATCCCTATGGCTACTGACGACATACCGAAAACAGCTATCATAACTCCTTTCGGACTCTATGAATTTTTGCGTATGCCTTTCGGTCTAAGGAATGCTGCTCAAACATTCCAAAGATTCATAGACGACGTTTTTCGAGGTCTCAACTTCGTACACGCGTATGTTGATGACTGTCTAATCGCAAGTCCGGACAGAGAAACACATCTCAAGCATCTGGATCTTGTTTTCGAACGACTTCAAAAACATGGCATAACTGTAAACGTTCAGAAATGCCAATTCGGAACCGACTCGTTAGACTTCCTAGGACACACTATCGATGCTCAAGGCATTCGACCTCTTAGGACCAAAGTGGCGGCCATTCTGGATTACCCAGAACCGACCACCGTCAAGCAATTACGCACGTTTAACGGCCTGGTAAGTTTCTATAGACGTTTCATACCGAAATGCGCATTACTCATGAAACCTCTAAACGACCAACTTCGTGGAAATGCGAAATCCATTAATTTGGACGACACCGCACGAAAAGCATTCTCCACAGTTAAGGAACTGATTGCTAAAGCAACAATGCTCGCACATCAGGACACCCGAGCACCCATTAGCATCGCAGTAGACGCATCCGACTCGGCAATCGGAGGAGTCTTACAACAATGGGTTAACAACTCCTGGCAACCCTTGGCATTTTTCTCTAGACGGTTGCTAGACACCGAATCGAGGTACAGCACATTCGGTAGGGAACTCCTAGCTATGTATTGTGCTGTACGGCATTTTCAACACTACATCGAAGGTCGTGAATTCACTCTTTTCACGGACCATAAACCGCTCACTTTCTCGTTAAGCTCTCCTTCTGACAAGTACTCTCCCCGTGAGTCTCGACAACTGGACTACATTTCGCAGTTTACTTCAGATATTCAACACATCTCTGGAGCAAACAATGTAGTTGCAGACGCTTTATCTCGTATAACTTCCTTGAACAGTTTCCAAGGAATCGACCTTCTTAAACTCGCCGAGCTTCAAAAAGAAGACACTGATCTTCAGCACGAGTTATCGTCCACAACACTTAAACTACGCATCAAACAGATGGGAACAGGTAAGGAAACCTTACTTTGTGACACATCTACAGGTAGGGATCGCCCAATCGTGCCGAAACATTATCGACGCAATGTCTTCAACACATTACACAAACTTTCGCATCCAGGTGTTCGTGCAACCATCAAGCTTATAGCAGAAAGGTTTTGCTGGCCTGGAATGAATAAAGACGTGAGGGAGTGGGCACGCTCCTGTGTAAGCTGCCAAAAATCTAAGGTTATCAGACACAACAAATGTCCCTTAGGCTCGTTTAAAACTCCCGATGCTCGTTTCGACCATGTTCATCTGGATTTGGTAGGACCTTTACCAGATTCAAATGGATACTCTTATCTCTTAACCTGCGTAGACCGTTTCACTCGATGGCCAGAAGCAGTACCTATCAAGGACATCACTGCTGAAACAGTGGCTCGCACCTTCGTCGAACGATGGGTAGCAAACTTCGGCTGCCCTTCAACCATCACTACAGACCGCGGACGTCAATTTGAATCTGATCTTTTCCGTCGTCTGACCACTCTTTTAGGAAGCACTCGCTTCCGAACGACCGCCTACCATCCACAAGCAAACGGGTTGGTAGAACGTTTTCACCGACAACTGAAAGCTTCGCTATCAGCTACAAACGTTTCACAGTGGACCGACGCTCTTCCACTCGTCTTACTAGGTATCCGCAATGCAGTGAAAGCTGACATTGGATACACTGCGTCTCAACTCGTTTATGGTACGACACTTCGACTTCCAGGAGAATTCGTGGATCCTTCATCCTCTTCAATGAACATGGATCTAACCTCCTACACGAACAGGCTTACAAACGCAATGCGTTCAGTTAAACCTGCTTCCACCCGACCTCAATCGACTGATGTTTTCGTTCAACCTGACTTACGATATAGTACACACGTTTTCGTTCGTCGAGACTCGCATCGACGACCCTTCGAATCAGCATACGAAGGACCCTTCAAAGTTCTTCAACGTGAATCTAAGTACTATATAGTCGATAAGAACGGAACCAACGATAGCATCAGTATCGATCGCTTAAAAGCAGCGTATTTAGAAGGAAATCCTATCTACGTGGATTTTCCTTCGGTACAATTGAACGACACGACTCCGACACTTATAATACCTCATCCGACAACCAACACACACGATGATACTTCGACAGTATCCGAAAATAAACTTAAAACGACGCGTTCTGGAAGAAGGGTGAGATTTCCAGAACATCTAAACGACTATTGCACGTAAGGCACTTCTCGACATTTTATATTATTTTTTAAAAAAAAAAAACAATTTTAATATGCTTATATATTTTTATTTCTATTTAAAAAAAAACAAAACAAAAAAAACAATTTTTTAACGCTATTACGTGTTCATGAGTTTATTTTCCATTTTTTTTTCCGCCGACATTGTGCTTTGACGCACATACGAGTGTATTTCGACATGCACTTACATTTTCTTTTTTCTTTTCCAGGACGGCTGGAAAAGAACGATGACGTTTATGAGGATCCGAAATTTTCCATGTACATTTTCTTTTTTTACTATGTTGTACCTCCGTCCCATATAGTAAGGAAAGACGACCAGACGCTGCTAAATTTAGTAAGCTATCAGAAGAGTGTTTACCAACGACAAACTCGTTGGGTTTAAACTTCTGGCTGGCCACGTCTTAGGGTCGTCACTGCCCCACTAGGGGGGGAGTGATCTGTAGCGGTAAATAAATCCCCAAAATAAATAGCCCTAAGTTTTCGACATTGGATGCTGACCATATGTTTTAGTGGACTCATCTAGCTGAAGGCGCTCGGTCATGCATCCGCACCAGATCACGTGTGGTAACGCCGTGCTCAACATCAACCGCAATCGCTAGCCAGATTAGATCAGAGAATTCCGATATATTGGTCATCGCCAAATATACTCTTCCGATCTCCTCGACTCTGTCTTTTGATTTCTCTGGGCGGGAACGAAATATATTAGAAGGTGTTACTGGTAGAAGCGTTGTCAAACACTGAATACCTGTGACATCATCAGGAGAATAGGGTAAAGGAAATAATAGTACAATATTATATTGTATCCCAACACTAATTTTGTTATTTCACTATTCTTACGTAAAAAAATGAGCCAATAATTTTTTGTACAACTAGGATCACTATGATTTATATAAATTGCATTATCCTCAGCATAAACAGTTAGGCACAGTTACTGTAGGTTTAATTTTGTTTGAATTGTTGCTTTCAGCTGCCCTTGCGCCTTAGACAAATGCTGTTTTTCTTCGCTTCGTTTTGGACCCGTTTATTTATTGTTCACCAAACATCGAAAGCAGAATAGCAAATTTTATACTATTGAAAATTCATCCTAAAGTAGTCGCTTAACATCAGTAATTCGAGAAATACGTATCCAACCAAGTTAGCTGAAAATGAGCTTGACTTCCAGAATTACTGGTGGTACTGGCTCAGGCGTCAACCACAATGTTGCAAATCCAGCTCCTAAATTATCTGGAAATCTTCCTCCTACTCAAGATCCAGCTCCCGTGGTTAATCATTCAAGCTCCACACGATGTTCCAGTGGAGCCTTGATGAGTTTATTAAACAGTGGATTATCTGTTCCTCGTCAAATGATGGTTCAGGCCCGCGGTGCACAAGATAATCAGCATATTCCTATACATTTGAGCTTTGTGGGAACTATTGGACAGGGGACATTTGGACAAATTGAGAGAGCTACTCTCACTGTCCCAGCAACATCTTCAGGCATACCAGGCAAAAAGAATCCTGATGCCGGTGCTTTTTCTGATGGAGGACAAAGTTTGCAAGTCGCCGTTAAGCGTGTCTTGCAGGACCCTCGCTACAAAAACCGTGAGCTGAGTATTATGCAACGCCTTAACAACCATCCTAATGTTGTGAAGTTCTACTACTACTATTACTCGACAGCGTCGTCAAATAGTCGGGGCCATAGGAGTGGTGGTGGACGTGCAGGCGCATCTACATCGGGTGTAGATGTGTTCTTACATCTTGTACTGGAATGTTTCCCCGAGAGCTTATGTGAACTCATCTACCGCTATTCTCAAAGGAACCTGAAAATACCAGCTTGTACAGTGAAGGTTTTTACGTATCAGATGCTCAAGTCCCTGGCTTATCTACATAGCCATCAAATATGTCACCGTGATATCAAGTCGTCCAATTTACTAGTCAATGAAGATACTATGGTTTTGAAAGTGTGTGACTTTGGAAGTGCTAAAGAAATGGTGCCGGGAACTGCTAATGTATCTTATATATCCTCTCGGTAAGTTATCATATTCTTTGTTTGTCTTTGAATAATTTCTGCTACTAGTTCCTAATTAGTGTGTTTCTAGTGATAAGCCACTGTAACTACACTGTATTTTGTTATTATATTAAGCTAAGCTCATCTATATCTTGAGTTCTCGTGTCCTTTATTGTGCTCCATCAGGCGGAGCTGAAGGGCTTGACAAATTGATTATCCAGTTATAGAAGTTAGCTGACATTTCAGATTTGGAATTGGACGTAATCCTATCAAACTGTTCTTTCAGGTTTTGTATAATGTCAAACTCAGCCACACTATCCATGAATAATATACATCTACGGTTGTAGTCCAATTCCCCTATTTATTGTGTAAACTTGGATAATAGTACTCAATGTATAACCGTGAAGGATCTTAGTAACTAGTCGTTCAGTCTTAAAATTGCTTCATCCTTTTTGTCTAAGTCTTGAATGTCTTGCATTTTTATTTTCGACTTGATACCTAAACGCCATCACACATCGTAGGCCAGTAATAATGGCTTCTTAGTAGTTAAACTGCCTTCCATCGGTCTGACAAGGTTAGGAACTGGAATCATCTTTTAAAGTTATTTATAAAATCCATTTGCGTCTTGAACGCTATTGGTGAAGTTATGGCCAACCCCGACTGGACGAAATCTAATAAGTTTGTTCTGCTTGAGCATTGTTTAATGAACACTGCTCATTCATTTATCGTATAAAGTTTCTATCTCTCTACAGTGCTGTCATTTGGTTGCGGGGAGCACTCTTCATGCCCTATTTTACCAAACGATTTGTCCATAAAATAATTGTTCCACTTGTATGTCTTCTGTTAGGTATCTCTGAAATTTTAATTACGGGTCAAAACGATACAGTCCTCAGTTCCGACTTGGTGCCACGTTTACCCAAGTGATACATCAATGGTGTCACTCACCTATTAGGTTATTACGTATTTTCATGGTCTTAGTAACTAGTAAACGATCACAGCCGATTTCTCTTCAAGGTCACTTTTCATAATCCCCATCATTCACACACAGTCGCTTGCTGTTCTGTATCCTCAATAACTGCACTTATAATATGTGAGACGTTTCAGCATACTCATTATAAGATAAATAACGTTTGAACCACTAGTTTGAGACATAGCCTTTACATCGTGATATCGATTTCTGATCAGTACATTGTAATAATCAATGATGATGTTTTCCATAATTGGGTCAATAACTAAACTCTGGTCTTACTTTCCGTTCGGCATCCTAAAAGCAGACTGAAAAGGCCCATGTGTTAACCGCATATTTTACTGGAGAACCAAAGCTAACTACACGAAAGTAGGGGCGATAGGTAACTGCCTAGACTCATTAAGGTAACAATTATTACTCAGTAAGTCTATAGTAGGACTTTCTGACGAGAATGGATTGGTGATTCACTCCCACTTCACAATTTTGGAATGGTAACTGAAATACTCTAAGGATCAGGTCAACTGCTCAACAAATACTCTTCAATTGCTTGCTCTTTCCATATAACCTGAGTAAGAGATCAATCCAAGTCTGGTAGCTCTTACCAAGGTTTGAAGAGACTAAATCTAATTCGAAGTGATAGGAATCAACGGTCTGATAAATTGAAGATTTTGAGGATGGTAATCCTGCTTTAGAAGTTGAGTTGTTTGGGATGTGAGCGTAATTCTAACCTACTGATCTTGATTGTTAATCATCATAGTTCCTAGAGAGAGCAAAAATTCTGTTGCGAAGACCGTATACGAATCAGTTTGTGTAATATATGAAATATTAGCCTCAGTAATTATTCAGTGGGTGAATAGAACCTAGGAATAGCAAACTTGAAAGAACCAGGTGGATTTATGATGTAATAGTAGATATATAGACTGGATCTATACTCTCCGTCAGGTTTTAAAGTAGTCATATCAACACCCAACTTTAATTGTTTCTCTCTACCCAAAGACAGCATTCGGTTCCACTATAATAACTACGTAGAACGTTTATTTGTGGAAATTATATTTGAAATAATTCCAGTGATTGGAATCTAAATGGTTCCAACGTTTCGTCCGGCAACCTTGTCTGGACTTCTTCAGGATAATAATCAAGATCAAAATTATCGAAGAATATATGTTTAACAATCAATCAAATCTTTACTGTGTTTATCTAGTCATATCCTAATGTTGACTTTAGTAAGTTGGATAATATGAGCCATGTGAACCATATGAAAAGTTCAGTGTGATGATAAATGAGTGATTGTGTATGCGTATTTATGAGTAAATTTGAGTTATCAATAGCTGATGTTAATTCGTTTTTAGATGAAGTAAACATAAAAAATTTGTCTGGAGTTTAAGTGACCAAACAAACATACCTCATTAGTCACTTGTAAGTTTATGTAGTTGAGTATACCAGATGTATTTTTATAAGAATGCTAGCTGGTTGCCAAATCTTTGTACTTGAAGAGGTTAGTCATTTATAATCAACATAGTTTAGTGCGAATATGAGTTTGCTGAAGTTGCCATACAACATCAGTACGGCGATGTGAAGTTAGGAGAAAGAATAGCTCGAGCCCAAATAATAGTGGTGTGGGTGATATTAAGAATGATTAAACATTTGAGAAAGGTCCATGATTCTCATCTACTGGCTGTGATTGGAAAAATTAAATTAACTCAGTAAAATTTATGCCCAACTAGTTTCAATTAAACGTTATGCGTTATGCAGTATTGATTTCAGTAATCCAATAATGTTTCGTTTTTCAAAATCCAAGTTAGATGTGTGCAGGTACCGAATTAATATTCCTTACCAAACGTTCAATTTAGGTCTAGCTATGTTGTTTGAAGACCATAATATTTTACGACTGATTCAACCTTGATTAGTCATGCAAAACTGAAATCCAAAAATTCAAGTCGAACAGCCGCACAACCAACTTGTGTTTTGTGAGTGTAAAGCATATATTATTGATGGTCAAATTTCTGTTCATGGTTTCTCAAGGACCTTTTAATTCATTTTCCTATGCTCTATGTAAATCGACCAATATCTCTATACGAAATGAATTAAGCTCAAAAGCACTGTACTTTGTTAATCGATAAATGCCCCTTAGTTATTTAGAACAACCTTTAGATTCAAATAAAATATTTAGAAAGAAGCTCTATCTAGTAAAGTTATTTAACTAAACAAGATGAGAAATCCTAATCTTCACCCGGTATTTACTGTTAACTTGGCAAATTAACGTGTTTGGTAGACTCAATCCTAAAGCTTTGGTTTTCGTCCACATATCCGTCTGCCAACTAAGGGGCGAGTTTACTGCTCAGCAGCTCTCTCTGTCTTACTTCATGAATGTGAAACATGACCACTAAGGATAGAGGATATTCATGGGTTATTAGTGTTCGATCATAGGTGTCTTAGAAGCATTGTCCGTGTAGTTGAGGACCACCGGGTAAGGAATCCCTGGGTTAAGAATAGGGTGCTTGGTAAGGATGGGGAATCGATTGATGAGATAGTAAACTTTTATCGACTGAAGTGGTTGAGACATTTATGTACGTATGCCCAACCATCACCTTGGGAGTTGGTTAGAAAGAAGCAAGGGGCAGCCAAACAAACAATCCATGAAGTCATTGACAATTGGACTAAACCATGTTGATAGGTATAGATATTACCACCTGGTTGGAGTTCGCGTGATTATCGTAACAAGTGATTGGAGACTGAATGATATAGCTCAAAATCATTTTTAATGATGCAGTTCCACTCACTGCCCCCAGATTCTAAGCTTCTGAATCCCTCTTAATTTTTTTATTTCGCTTTTTTATGTTTTCTTGAATCGTGTTTTCGATGCTTAGTTTATTCAGTTACCACTCATACTATTATTACCTCTATTGTTCTGGGATTCGGTCTAGCTGTGCTAATCGGGTATGGCAACTTGAACCAATGTACATACGTACGGGTTCTACGTTGTGAGTGACCAATTTAGGTGTTTATGTCAGACATTTTTAAGTTATCTTGAGAGGATTTTCACTACTTACAGATAGTCAGCTACTGAAACTAGTCCAAAAATAAGTCGTTTGAATTCCTTATAAATTCCTTACAAATTTACCAGTCTTGTTAATTTCAATCAATTTGTAATTCACTAATTGCATGTAAAATGTTCTTACAACCTTGTTAGGTTCACTACCTTACAATACCTATCTTTATCCAGTATTCAATTGATGGTTGGGCCACGTGTTACGTATGCCCGAACACCGATTACCACGATGTGCAATGCTAACCGGTGTTCGGGATGGTTGGAAGAAAGTAAGGGGCGGCCAAACCAAAAAATGTCATCAGTGCTTGAAGTCACTAACTTCTAGTCTGAGCCATGTTGGTAGATGCAGACTACTTGGTTGGGGTCCACGTGACTATCGTAACCAATGGTTGGAGACTCTGTGTAACATGGCTCACAATCGATCACAATGGCGTTGGTGTATACAACACTCTGTCTTCCCTTAAACTATGAAATTAAAATAGCTTCATATCTTTCTTTCTACCAACTAATTCCTTCTTCCTGTACTATATCTTTATACAAAATCATTCTTTTATATATTACCATTGAATTAACTACTATGAATTCAGTGTCCATCTTGTTGTGTTAATGAGGTATGGCAACTTGGACCGATGTATATATGTTCCTGGTCCTACGTTGTAGCTGACTGACTGTTCAATTGATGGTAACTGTTAAATGATATTTCTCTCCTTGTTGTTGATGGTTTCAGTAACCAGGATCAACGAGTTCTCCAAGTTCATATGTAATAAGCAATTATGGAAATTATCAAGACACTTATCTCCAGTCAAACGTGCTTGCACGTTTTATAATCTCAGCTTATCCAAACAATATTTTTTTATATCACGGCAATGAATTTTGTTTGGTTAGCATCTCTCAGTATGATGAAGATTAAAACATCACCAAACACCCCCGTAAACCGTTATCATTTATTATTTTTGTGCTGTTTTTTTACTTATTTTTGATCGAAATAAGATTTATTTTGTCTACTTTGTAATTTGTACCGTACCCTCTAATGTTTCTGTTTCTGCTCTTAACGTGTAGATAAAATTTAATATCTCATTTTACCAAAACAATGTCATATCAATTGTGTGGTACATCCCTCTGCTTTTCCACTTGTATATCGATGTTTATTACTATCTTCCTAGATATATAGTTAGGCTTGTTTATCTGAAATATCACATCCATAGCTTGAAAATGTATGTTATTTAGTAGATCACGGTATCTGATTTGAGTGTAAATACGTATGCACTCAAAGACTGAATCCATCGAACCTATTACTCGGTCAAAGCAAAATAGATGAATATGTAACATTCGTAGTTTTTCTAAAGTATTTATTTCTTTGATAATGACCACATATGAATGTTGCTCGGGTTGACGCATCAAACATGCCCAATAGTTCAGTTTTGTTGACAAATAAAATGTTTCTATCCTGACGTGAAATCCTCAATTCAGGAATACATAGTTTTAAAATGCTCAATAACTTGATTGGTTTATATATGTCCTTTTATTTGTCCTTTTTACAAATGCTTGTGCACCTAAGTATGTGCTATCAAAATTTTACTTCCTTTTTGTTTTATCTGATAAGTACTTTGAATGATTCTACCAGATATTGAATTATATGCATACGTATGTACCATTGTGAAATCGATTTAGCAGTGATGTACTTTAAATAGGCCTTTTCTTGTCTTTACCGTTCGTGTTTTATTGACTTCTTGGTATTCTATTACTATATTTTCCGTATACATCAAAAGACTATTCAAATTGCTGAATACACACTTATAAGCACTTAAAGGTTTTTACTGTTTGTATCTTTTTAGGGGAACAAAATACTTAAAACATTTCTTTTGTAATGTTTACATATATATGCAAGACGATTGATTTATATTTATGATCCTTCAAAGCATTTTAGACGTTTGATCCAAACAAAATATATTACGTGGTTGGAAATAGTCCATAGGGTTTCCTCCAACCACCTAACATCTCAAAATAGACCAAACAATATCGAATCACTTAAACTGGTAGACGCATGCGCCTTGATTAATAGCATTAAAGAACTGGACAAACATGAAGATTATCATTAACTTAGTGATCAATCAGTTGTAAATTAAGTGTATCTAAAACTTTGAATCTTCCACATCTAGAACCTCAACACTTCGATGATCGTAAACGCTAAATGCCGTGACTTATGGCAAATCATTGTCTGTAGTACTCGTATTTACCCTCCCCTCTCAGATTCTACCACTCTACTTGTTTCCGTGTTGACTTGCCAATTAAAGGACTCTACTCTTGATCACTGGGTAGCCTATTCGGTTATGGCTACCTGTTAGTATCATTAGTTTTCACACTTAGATTTTGGTTCATATCCAAGTACCTGAAGAATGAATTAATCTAATCTGCAAAAACAGTCCTGCTCAATACTTATCCGATAATAAGTCTATCTATATTGACTCGATTGACGTGTTCATCTTGAAACACCGGTGTTTTTATCATTTTGTACAAACCTCCACAATAATTATTTGTCGATGCTGAAATACGTTGAAAAAAGTGAAGTGGTCAGCTTGTGACTTGGTTCTCTGGCATGAAAGAAACCCATATTGAACCAACATCTGTCAACCTATCACAACTACCCAGTGTAGGTCCTAGAAATCGTACAATTTGATGAGTCGAGATATTATCCGACATGGCTCAGAGTAGAGTTCAGTAATTATTCTACTGTAGACTTTTATTATATTGTGCACAAAAATGAGGTGATATTTAAGTGAAAAATTCTCCATAAACTGTATTTAGACGAGTTGTTTAGAGACATTCTTGCACATGTGTTTGTGGATTGTACGACCTTCCCCTCTTTTCTGCACTATCTTATCACTTCACCTGTTGTCGCCTTTTTCGGTGCCCTGTTGTACCTTCATTCGTGTGAGTCTTAGTTACAATACTAATTGCTATTTTCTTGCATGAGATTTTTACTAAATGACTCTCTATGTTTATATCCTTATTGTCGAATGTTTGTTCTATCGTTCAGGTATTATCGTGCTCCGGAGTTATTATTTGGAGCTCAATATTATTCTTGTGCGATTGATACTTGGAGTGGGGGGTGTGTACTGGCTGAAATGTTACGTCAGCATTGTTTGTTCATGGGAGCTGATTCAGTAGATCAACTGGTTAAAGTTATCCGCGTTTTAGGCACTCCTACTCCACAAGATATTGCCAGTATGAATCCAATGTATGGATCTTACAGTTTCCCAGATGTTCAGTCTTGCCCTGTAAAACTGTTTTTCCCACAGCATACTCCAGCCGATTTGTTGGCTCTAATGAGCAAAATGCTTGTTTATAATCCATCACTAAGAATTTTACCATCTCAAGCTCTTTCCGAACCATGTTTTGACGAACTTCGTTCTATCGGTCCAAATGGAGTACTTTCGAACAGAGTTCGTATGCCTCCACATATCTTTGATCCTGATCCCGAACCTAATCCTCCTACATCAGTAACAGATGGGACAAATTTATCAGCATATAACAATTGGTTGCCAGAACATCATAAGCATGGCTCATCCAACAAGAAACCGATCACCAGTGTGGGTGATTTGCAAGGTTCCGATAAGAAAAACTGTAAACCACCATCGAATTCTCGAGAAATTCCTGCTGATTGGCAGCGAAAAGGTATGTTTTTAATGCAAATAAATAAACGTGTTTTAATCGTTTAATAGTTAATCAATATTTAGTTTGAAAATACGTTTTTCTGGGAATACATTATTTCTCTTAGTAACATTTATTTCGCCGTGTTGTATGAGATGTTACTTGTACCGATGCGAAAGTGTTAGATTCTACGTTGGTGTTTATTTGTTCATGTATTTAAACACAAATGTTGGTACAAGGAGGTACCAAATATATATACTCCACACAAATCAGATGATTTGTATGAGAGCTGGAATACTACCCGAGTGCCCAAACCGTAGCAGATGGTTTCCCCCGAACCCTTGACCTAGAGGTCTGATCCACAAGGCAGTAGAATATCGTCAGGAGATGCAGTCCCATGGTAGCCGGTGACCAACAATAGGTTCATACTCCATCTGTTCCCATGTTCATCATTAGTTTGGAATTATGGTTTCCCAACTCCCATAGGTGGATCCTTCAATATTCGCCAGCCCGGTTAAAGCCCCGGATATTCGCTTTTCGTCCTCTCAATTTCGTAAACACCACTCGCGAGTAGGCAGTGAGTAAGACTTCCATGTCAGTGGTTATATACGCTTGGTCATGTGAGAGCATTCAGAGAGAGAGGACTCTCCCCACCCTCGACATACCAGGGCATTTGAGAGCTGTTGAGTATATGAAAGCATTTATTTATTTATTTGGACACATAAATATTGGTACAAGAGGGCACCAAATATATATGCGCCACACAAACAATGAGAATGGGGAGTGAAACAAAGAAGGTAAGGAGTGTGAAAGAAAAGAAAAGAATGACGACCAGATTAGTGTAAGGTAGTGTAACAATAATAATAGTAGTAATGGGGTAAACGGAAAGGTATAATTAGAAATCTTTCAGTTAAGGAAGAAACAACCATTTTTTATGAAAAAGGTAAAAGAAGGTTACAACGGGATCGCCACTGGCTTCTATTCTGAGCCATATCTGATAACGTCTCTAGCCACTGTGTTGCACCATCTCTCTGACCCTAACCAGGGAGTCGTGAAGGTCCGACAGAAGCCAGTCCTTTGCAGCTTTTTTTTCATACCATGACACCATGTCATGCACTGACCACCTCTCTGCTTCTTCCAATCAGTCCCAGAGTCGGCAAATAATGCACGACGTGGAATTCTCTGGGACGACATTCGTAGAACATGTCCAAGCCACCGAAGTCGGTGTTTCAAGATGGTGACACCAATTGGATTATCGTCTGTGCGCCCGAACACACGATGCCGAACCTCTGCATTACTAACATGGTGTTGCCACTGGATGTCAACAATCCTTCGGAGACAAGGATTATCAAACCCAGTGAGTCGTCTAACATCTTCAACTAAGAGAGGCCAGGTTTCACAAGCATAGGGCAGAACTGCTCTCACCGACACGTTGTAGATCCGACCTTTTACAGCTAGGCTGACATCACGATAGCGCCCAAAATGGTCCAGATTGGCATAAGCCGCTCTGGCTTTCACTATACCTGCAATGATCTCATCACTCACACCCCGACCAGCACTTATGCAGCTACCTATATAAGATACACGAACTTCTCGACTACTTCTATCTGCTCACCATCCAGGGTGAGTACAGGATTAGAATCCTGCCAGTCTTGTAGAAGGTACTTTGCACTTCGAAGGTGTAAAGCATATACCATACCTACGGACACTGATTGCCAACTGATTAAGTGCGGATTGCAATTATTAGGCATTATCGCACAGTAAGACAATATCGTCCGCATACTCAAGGTCGAGAAGTCTTTCTCCAGGCAACAGATCCACACCACCATTACTTACATCCATCAGAGCTGTTTCCAGAATGTCATCGATGGCAAAGTTGAAGAGGAATGGTGAGATTGGGCAACCCTGCCTAACCCCACTACTCGAATGGAACAATGGAGAGAGGTGGTTGTATGCCCTCACTCTACTCATATGAAAGAAACACTTAATTCAATGAATGATAAGGCACCATGATGTATCAAAGCAGTACATCAACCTTGTATCGACTACTCGAACACTACTGGTCGGGTTAGAACTTAAGCTGATATATTATCAGAATTGTCAAGGTTGTCCACTTTCTCCATTTTTACCTAGTTTCGTCATAGACATTCTCCTAGAGATAAGGCCCTCGTCGTTTGACATTTTAAGCGTTGACCTAGGGATCCACTTATCGACTTGAAATACACAGACGGCACAGTCCTGTCCTATTTACTGATTCACTCATTCACCACGTACTTGGGTATGAGCTGATTTTATTATCTGGTTGCTTAAACCAAAGTTGGTCAAGCTAAATACGAACCTAGTACTTGGTAGCTTGAGGTCTAATGACTTAACCATGAAGTCACTATCTAAACGACTAACGAGAAGTATTTTCGTATTCATATAAATCGTATCTCATAATTCTAGGTTTTTTTTGTTTATTATTTAGGTCGAGCTGTCGGATCTAATAATTCATCGGAAAAATGTGGGTCAGTTATTGCTTGTCCCGGTGGTGGCAGTCATCCAAACCTGGAATCAAAATCTGACGAATTAACCGGGAACACTAATGGTGTAAATAATGATGCTTCGAGTAGACAACAACACAATCGAACTAATACTGAGAATAATCTTAAAAATCCAATCGATACAACAAAAACCGGGACGGCGACAACAGTTGATGTTGGTCATACAAGTCAAATAGAAAATCCCGATGTCTGTTGCAATGATAATGAAAACAATATTAATAATAATAGCATTACTACAAATGTACACTTAAAATCATTTGTGCCTCCTCATCCCAACTCTTCTGAACAACGGACAAATTTAAGTGAAGTACACTAGATAGATAGATAGATCGAGATAAACATTTGCACAAAAATCCACATTACAAAATTCATAGTGTAATTATTTCTTGTCATTTGATATATCCTGCACACTGAGTCATTTCATTGGCGGCCAGCCTCAACATTAGCATCACTTGGTTATCTTTCTGTTAACTAACAAATTATTTCTTGTGAGGATAGTAGTACTTCGTAAATAAACAATCACCTTTTCTCTCTCCCTGTCTGCGCCCAATTACTCGTCGAATCACTTTGATTTCTTCGTGTATATGTGTGTATGTATGTCTAGAAAAAGCCCACAATAAACTAAACCAACTAAATTACACCATACTCTTTTGTTGTTATTGTCGTTTAATATTGAACAAAGTTAATCCTGTTTCTCTCTCTCTTTGTTACAAAACACCTACGGTGACATGGTTATCATCTGTTATCTTCCCGACTGTTAGTTTTTCTTCCAAAATAATGGATATTACAATCCACATATTTTTTGTTTATCAATTAATGTAGGTAGTTGAGTGTAGACAACAAAATGTCGAATGGTATTGTGTTGTATGCATTGTTTATTGTTTCAAAACTATAGAACTTTTCTCTTCCATCATTTTCTTCTCACTTCTTCTTCTGACTAATATGATTCCAAGTAATAAGTTTACCTCATAGGAACAATCTCTCCTGGGTTTTTTCCTCCCGTTTGTCTGTGTTTATTTTTACAATTAGAATTAGTTATGTTATATAACATTATTCTGTATTTTCGTAACTACTTTAACAACCCATTAATTAATATGTAAATATATATACATATATGTGTTCATTCAGTTCACGACTTCTTTCTTGATTGTTTTTCATTTGTTACACTGTGTTCTGAGGTTTCTTTCTTCCATTCTACAATCTGTCCATTTTTTTTCTCTTACTTTATCCCATCTCTTATTTCATTATTATTCAGAATCATTTCTCTAGGTGTATGTTGTTCATTCATCTCACTTCGTTGTGTTTTAGTTCTCTTCAAAGGAGAGAAAAGAAAAAGAAGTAAGAAATAGGCTTATAGAGTGGTAGTAAAATATTTTTTAAAATTTTAGATCTTGGTTGCTGTCTATCTACCAGTTCCATTTTTATGAATAGAATATTACATGTCAATATAATAATAAGTAAAACCTTATACATTTCTTGATCTGATTAGTTACAGTTTTATAAATGTTAGGCAATTACATGTTGATCTCCTTTCATATTAAATATATTCTCATATTGTAATCAAACCTTATTCGATATAAATTGCGGGGGGGGGTCGGAGAAGAGAAAAGAAAGATAATTGATTGATTGATTGATTGATCGATTATGTCGCAATATTTGTACTTCAATTTTTACAATGATGTGAATGTGAATTTCTGGATATTTATTTTGCATGTTCTATACAGAAGTATCTATGTGTGTAAAGGTGATTGTTTTGTGATTTTTTTCTATTTCCTATATCTTCTTCACTGCCTATTTATTCATTTTATAGACACAAACACACACAGACTTGTATGTAACCACTTCACTGTTCTTTTTTTTTTTAAAAAAAATTCTATTCAATTAGATTATCTGATTTTTCATTGTCCTTTTTTTCCCGTTAACAAAAAGTTGTATTTGAGTTCTTTTGTTTGTTTGTTTTTTTTGTACAATGGAGTTAGGATAGATTATGGGATTGTTTTTGGACTGTTTTTTAATTCAACAAAATACCATACCAACTAAAAGTATAGTTGAAAGAGGAAAATAGAATTTCTTTTGTATAACAAACAACACAATGAATTGTGTTGTGTATATGTCTTGGCTATGGATTAGAATGGTTTGTTATCGTTTGAACTTTTCTTTTGGTTGCTGTGCATCTTATCAGCATTTTTTTTCTCGTTGTTATTGCCTTAATTGGTTTATTTTATTTCTTGAGATATTTCTGATTCACCAAACTGGTATGCGTATGTACACACAATGATGTAGTATGTAGGCAACGTTTCTATTGTCCATGTCGTGATAGTGTTTAGTTCTCTTATGGATGTGTATGTCTGTTTACATTATCTATATTGAAGGGTTTTGTTAAATTTAATCAATATGAAGTTGATAGAGTAATTTCTTCTTTTTTTGAGAATAGTTTTATATATGTGTAGGAACGATTTGTTGTTTGTAGGTTTTTTCTTTCTATTCCCTTTCATGTACTACTGTTTCACATGTAGTATAAACGTTTTTTATTTTCTCTTTCACTTTACTAACTTGTGTTTTATGATTTTCTAACTGTTGGTCTTTATGGAGATTCTTAATGCTTGTATTATTATTCAGTCTAATTACTGATATATGTACTTGTAAAATGTACAAGATTATTTGTTTTGTTTTATTCATGTATTTCCTTTATTCTCTCTTCATCTTCTGGCAAAAAACGAATACATACATACATTAATATGAACACATACTTGTCTTTATATTTAGTCTACGTATCATATCTATTTATGATTATAATAATGTCAAGTTGATATGTCAAATATGAGCAATGTTCTTTATCTTCCATTGTGTTTAGTTCTCAGGAGTATTTTATTGTATGTTTGTATGTGTTCATTTATTTTACATGAGTAAAAATAGTTCGGTATCTTCTTTTTTTTCCTTCTTCTTCTTCTTCACTAGATGATTGAATTTCTTTTACATCATTAATGTCATTTTCTGATCATATTTTGTATGTGTACATCTAAATAAGAGAATAATAAATCGACTACCTTTTCTTCTTCCTCTTCTTGTAATCATCATTTGTTTGATTCCCTTCTATTTGTCTTTATATGTTCTATTCTGAAATATATATAAAGTAAGTAAATGATGTTTGTCTTATAGTACATTAGTTTTTATTGTATGTTATCAGTTTGTTTGTTTATTTGTTTGTTTTTCTTTTCATTCTTCTTGTATCGCTCAATTGTTTAGAAACATTGAATAATTTAAGCGTAATATACCTCTCTCTCTCACACACATATATATATATATACACTCTCTACCTACCTACCTATCTATCTGTCACTTTCTCAGTATATATTGTCAAAGAAGTTATTTTGACCATTCATTTGTTTATAATAAACGATATATATATATATATATATATATATATATATATATGCCTAACTAGTGAAAGATCAACTATGCATTCTATAATGATAGACAAGATTTCGTGAAATATCATTACAATTGATAGTACTATTTGTATATCTGAATATACAATAAGAATAATAGATCATCAATCAATCAATCAATCAATCAGTTATTGCTTTCAATAAAGTTTCCTACTTTATAATTTTTATGTCATAGATATACGTTTTATCTAAGAGATATATATATAATGTTATCATTATTCTAAAGGATTTAATGATCGATTAGTATGTTATGTGTTTATCTACATGAATAGTAAACATTCATAAAGAAGTACTAGATTGATTATATATACTGATGTATAGTTCATATTGTAAATAATCATAATAATATAGATATAGATATGGACATTTATGTCTCATTTTTAAATGATCGGAGCATTTACTAGTTTCATCTGATCTACTGAACATAATTTTCATTGATTAATAGTTTTAGTTATAAGTAATGTAGAACTTGATATTTATGTAAATCGGTTCAAATTGATATATGAATACTATGTCAAACAATTTTATACAACCTCTCCTAACTTGACAAAAAAAGAAAAAGGAAATATCCTAGTAGAATAACATGAATTTCGTTGATTCTCTTTAACTATTTACGAATTCCAAATGCCTTGGTACGATCGAGAGTTGGAAGAGTTAGCTCTTACATGGACACGCGTATACAGCTACTGACAGTGAAGTCCTACTCACTGCGTTCTCGTGGGAGGGTTGTTATTTACGAAATTGAGGGGACGAAAAGCGAATGTCCGGCGCTTTGACCAGGTAGGTTGATGTGGAGGAACCACCTAGGGGAGTTGGAAAACCCTGATACCAAACTAATGATGCACTTGGGCTCCAGGATTCTGAGGGAACATATGGGGTATTAACTAATCGTTGGTGGCCGGCTACCGTGAGACTGCATCTACTTACGATGCCCTACTGCCTTATGGGTCGGACCTCCGGGTGTGTCCCTAAGAAGAGCATCTACTTCGGATGTGGTACCCGAACTGTATCACAGTCCACACACAAATCAAGTGACTTGTGTGGCGTATATGTATTCGGTGCCCATTTGTGTTCAAATAAATCATTAAAACAAATATAGATTATATCAGAAACACCTAGGATAAATTGATTTAAAATATGGAGATAGAATAATATTAAAAGACCATAGTACGGGAGAACTAGAATTGTATAAGCGTTCCCTTATTTATAGGTTAAGTAGTATATGAATATTCTAGAAGAGTATGGAAATAAAAGACTTCGCGAGACAGAAGATGAATTATACACTATAATCTGGTTGATTAAAGCTTATAGGAAAATAGAAGACAAAGTCTTTTATTATTGATCACGAAAAATAAGGTCATCAGAGTAGAACAGAACTGTTCCCATTTTGAATATACATAAATCCGGTTTAAATCTTTTTAATGCAACAGATATGACAAAGTGTTTGTTTATTATTTTAAATGATTTCGCAACTTCAACAACATGTATGCCATCGAGCAATTGCACTATTGAAAACCTTGTGTTCGTTTAGCATCAGTTTTTGTGGAGTACGTTCGAAGATGCGGATGCAAACCTTTCTTTCTGTTCTACTGATGTATGCGCTTTCTCACGTACCTGTAAACTGCTAAATACAATTAGGGGTAATATAAAGCGGATATCTGTCCACATTTGATTGTCTCAATGAGCATATGCTTTAGTATAGAGACACCAACTTCGTCGCTGAATACATTCTTTTTAGTATTACCTTTAGTCTAAAATTAATCCTCGCATCGCCTTTGAAACCAAGTTTTAAGAAGTAAGGCTTTTTTGCAATCGTAGGATATTTCATTCCCTTCTTCCTAGTTGTTCCGTATTTATGGATTTTCGCGATAACCGTTCTCACGTAAGCAACGTTCAACTATGGATAATTCCTCCTCAATCTTATCATTAGAACATAGTCTGCGTAAACGGTTGAATAGCGTTCTTAACAAAACTGTTTTGTAGCTTATCGGTCAGAAGCTATGGAAGTTCAAGTATAACCCACTCCACGTGTTCTCCCAATAAATGTCTTTCTAATCGGCCATTTGAATTACTTGTAATACCAAGATCTAGAAAGTGAAACATGTTTTCATGTCCACCTTCCATTGTAAATCTAATGTTGGGGTGTACTCTGTCGAAAAAGTCTAGTATACGAGAAGCATGTTGAGAATCATTACATGCAACAAGTGTATCGTCCACGTGACATACAACTTTGTCGATTTCATAACTGTTTGTTCTAGTTTCAACACAAAGATATCTGCCAGGATTGAACCCAGCGGACTGCCCATGACCACTCCACTAACTTTACGGTACAAGATATCGTTGGATTGAAATCAAACATATTTAGTGCACATCACCATTAGTTACTTGAATTTGTCCTTCAGTAAGGGAAATAGTTCAGTACGTTGATGTATAATTTGTATGATTTCTTTTAGTGGGATTGAGGTAAATAGTGATGATCTATCAAATGAAACCATGAATTTATCAAAGATGTTTACACTTTCTAGCATCTAATTAAATTGAAAATTGTCTTTCAAACTATAGACAGATAATTTTGAGCAAATAATTTCTAATTGATCACTAACCATCCAGCGATTTTGTGAAATAGAAGGTTGATCATCGGTAGTATAGGTCTAACGAGGACGTCAGGTTCGTTGATAGTCTATATAAATAAGTTTGTCTGGATCCTCGAGGTTTCAACTCATTATAAGTTTGATTATTAATTAAATTCCTTTTCAAAAGGCCTTTTAACTTCTCTATGATACATCTTTCTGTTGCTTCAGTCATATCCTATCAGTCAACTAGGAACCTAGCAGAATCATCTAGAACCTTAACTTTTTTAATCATTAGTACTACACCAGAACTCCTATCAGGTTTGAGATAGACGATATTTCCATTGTGCATTAAGTTTTTCAAGGCTGTTTGATTTTCGTGAGATAAAACTTTCGATTATGGGATTCGATATGTCATGTATGGATTGACAACATCAATGAATCGAGATTTAAACCAATTTTGTCCTTCAAATTGTTTTCAGTTCCGATAACTGTTAATACAAGTTCTAAAATTGATTTGTAAAACAAACAAGTTTCTAACGTGTGTGTTTTGCAGTCGGGTATAATAATGATGGAATTTTTGCACATTAACGGTATACAAACAGATATAAACAACATAGGCTCTGGTATAAATGAACGTCAGTTTAACTTGCTACATTTTACGTCACTAAAACTGAAAAAATGGCACTACATTGATGGTGATAATATCACAAGGTTGAAAACTGAAATTAAGAAAAAAAGTGACAATAGGAATGAATGAAATTGGCAAGTGACGGTATCAGTGATAGTAGGAAACCCATAGATACAATTCAGTAAAAAGGATTAATCCATGGAATAAAAAATTATTTTGAAGCGAAATATTAACTCATTCACCACTGTGACCGATTCCAGGTTCTGTCACTGAACGTCTCCAACTATTGATTACCATAATCGAGCGGATCCCAAACTGTAAAGCCATATTTACCAACAGACTTTCAAATGTGTTCGTTTACTTGGTAGCTACCTCGTTTTTACTCGCTTTTACGACTCCTGGGCTCAGTAGCAAAGTAGATAAGACGTTGATGTTTGGAGTAAAAGGTAATGGGTCCGAGTCCCAGAGTGAACATCAACTCTGTTATGCATGTAAATCAAGCCGACAAGTTCCAAGTAGTCAGAAGTTATTACGTTTGTGTCTCAATATGAACATCAGCATCCTCTTAGTTTGGTTTTTTACATAAACTCAATTGTAATAAGTTTTTCTGGTGAGACTAATTTATTGAGGACCTTTGAGCCATTCTAAAATGTTCTTGAGAATGTCCACCTACTAACTAGGACTAAATGAGGATTATAAAGTAGTTTGAAAAATTAGAATTATGATTTACAGTTGATGGTTATGGTTAAGAACTAGATTTAGGGTTTACATCACAAACTAACATCAGCTGAAAATAACGAATGGATGAGTGAATTTCGCGCCAAAATCCAAAACTTATCATCCTAAATCTGATTGGTTCATCCATAAATTATAGTTTCACCCTTAGATTTGATTACTACAAATGATAAACTATATTGTTAGATAATTGTAAAGTTGTATTAAAAGACTGGTTATTTGACATTAGTTCACATTTGAGTTAAAAGTCATTAAGACAACAATTGAAAGTTCACTTAGTATTGTTTGCTTGTATCTTCCCGTTGGAGGTACATTCAGCTGACGAGTTCGAAATAGAACGAAACTCATATCCTTGATTTCACTGCTGGCCATCATCTATCTTTGTCATGCATGTCAAGTCCTTATTTAGTGCAGATCGAATGCTATCGACCATGTTGCAATGTGGCCACCAGTCTAGGTGACTCGACACTGCATGCACGCAATCATCTATCTTTGCTTGAGAATATTATTGTTTCAGTTATTTTAATTGAATGTCGTTAACTGACGGAATAGATACAATTAGAGTAATTCATTATTGCTTATAGTAAAAATATAAATTTAGTTTGAAAGAATACTGCTGAAATTAATTGAGTGACTCGTAAATGAACTGAAGTCAACGTTTATGGTATCGTTAAACAGACATTACAAAAAGTACATGGGAAATACATTAGGGAACTTATCAATCCGCACTTGGAATTGTGAAAGGAAACGGAAAAAAGGAAAGCTGAAGAACGCACTACGTGAGGAATTATAAGCAAACTTGAAAAGAATGAATAGCACCTGGAAAGAACTGTGAAGGATCGTCCAAGACAGGGTTGAATGGTACGTGTTCCTCCACAAGGAGTAACAGGCTTAAGAAAAATATAATAAAAAGTAGGTGCTCAAAATATATAAAGGGATTATAGAAATTAACTTTTGCCACCATAAAGTACAAATACTGGGTATTAAATATATAAA